GGGAAAGAGGGTTGCAGTCCCACATCTCGGATGCTGCTGCCAACATTTGATACCGTTTCTTCTCCCCTAGTACGTGCCCGAGGATCTCCTCCCAGTCTACAGGGACAAAGTTGTACCTGTTGCTGATATAATTACTCCTAACCAGTTTGAAGCTGAGTAAGTACTCACTACCTTTTATGGCCACATAAACTTGGGGGTAAAAGCAGGGGAGACTGATACCCATTCTTTTATTTGTCTCAGTTCGGTGCTGTATGTATGTATGTGTTGGGTTTTGGTTTTCAGCTGTTAATTTCAAGTGGTACTTTTCAGCAAACGTCCAACTGTCCCATACTGAAACCAATAAAAAATCTGGGAGTTATGTGAGGCAAAGATTTATCTTGTTTTCTCTGTTTTCTCATTTTCATGATTACTTCTTGTTGTCTCCAGAGGCCTGTATCTAGGGCAGGTTAAAAAAGTACCTCTTTTCCCTTCCCTGTCCTTACCCATTCCTAGGAAAATCTTTATTATATGTCAGAATATCAAAACTAAAGTAGTTTGACTCAACTCCCCCAAATTAAATTCAGAAATACCACCGAGGCAACATCTCATAGGAGTTAAGAATTGAAGTGCCTCCTGCCCATCCTGTCTACGTCACTGTGACTCTTTGGTCAGGAGATTATCTGTTGTAGTTCATCACAGGCTGGCCCCCGCAGGGGAGGGAGCAGCTACGTGGGAGATGGAAAGACGACACTTGTGAGGGAATTTTATGATACAGGGATCTCTGCAAGAGGCAGGTTAGTACTGACATGAGTGCACTTCAGAAGCACTGTGCATCTGTGCACGTAACTTTTAAAGACAGCAGTCTGGTACAGCAGACCCTGTGGCTACAAACTGTTTAGGCCTGTATGGTGCAATCCAAGCTTTCCTCCTTTCAAAGAGTAAACAAAGCAGTCATTGCTTGAAGAAATTGTGCTCTTTTAAGATTTCTGTTTCATTCTCAGGTTACTCACCGGCAGGAAGATTCACACAGAAAAAGAAGCTTTAGAGGTAAGTAGGCAAGGAGTAGGATGTGTAAGATCTCTTTCCGTATTCCTGCCTGCAGTGCTGCGGTTTGCCATTTGTCTTTAACCTTTAAGTCGCTTTGCCCTCTATCCTTTCTCTCCATTTATCATTAAAGTTTGGGCACTCCAGGTGCAAACCACTTTCTGTCCTACTGCCAGGCTTGTGAAGAAACTTCCCAAAAGAACTACAGGTGGAGGCATTACTGTGGTAGTGAGTAGAGCTCTCTGAGCTCGTTTTCCTGCAGTGTAAGAAGGGTAGCAGCAGCACACGTGGAGAGTCACCCCACGCTGTCCGCGCTGTGGAAATGCACTGGCTGGGGTGACAACCCCGGGTGACCCTGGGCATTAGAAACCTGCATGAGTCGCTCCCTCTGCTGTCCGCATGCGAGTCGTGCAACCAGCAATGCTGAGTGTTAGGACAGCCGCTTCTCCATTCTCCCACACAGACTGCTTGCATGGAAGAGAGCTTACTAGCAAACTCTTACAAGGATTGATTGAATATGCTCTGAATCTCTTCCTGACAGTGTTTGCTGGTGCTCTGTTTCTCTTCCTTAAATTGACTCAAAGGGGATGAGACCTGGGTTGCAGAAGGACAGATTGCACAGATGAGAAACCAGACCAGGAGTGATGGCCTTTGGGTACTTCCTGGTGAAAGACAGACAAAAATCCACAGCACTGATAGCTGCTGTCATCACCATACAGAGATGATAGATGGTCCGCAGACATACTGCATTGAGGTGTGAGGCTTTACCCTTTTACACAAACTGAAGAAAATACAAAGCTGCAGGGCTTGGTGATGAAGGACGAAATAGGAATATGGTTTTACTGGTATCTTGAGAAGGGCTGAGCCTTGTGTTTTGTTGACCAGTCAAGTGCTTTCATAATGGACTGATGTTATTTCTTCCAGTTTGTTTTTGAACTTCAAAGGAACACACAATCTTTAAACAAGCAGCAGCTGCAGTGGCACCCTGGAGAGTGGCTGGGGTCTGTCAGCCCGAATGTTTGTTGTTTTTTTCCTCCAGCAACGTCATGCAACACGGGTTGATTACCATCTCTTCATGGCAGGAAGCAACTCCAAAGATGTCAGCTCAACTTTATGCCTTCCCTGCCCCCCCTGCCTCCCCCTGCTTCCTCCACCCCACCCCGGTTTTACATTGCCCTGCTGTGCTGGGCAAGGATGATAAACTGTGCTGCATGGCACTAGCTGCTAACTACAAGTCAATTCTTCTATTTTCATCCTCACCAGTGGAACCACAGTCTTGAGATCAGCACTGTTAGTTGAGCAGCTTTTAGTTTTAGGTTTGCATACTTCAGCTGCAAACATGAGTTGCATGTGCTAAACAGTTTTAGAAGTTAGTTTTGTGGTAGTCTGTCTGATTTGTGTGATAGCTCTTATTTGTGATGGGTTTTAAAAAAACCTCTTCCAAAGAGATGGAATTATACTTAGGAATTGAAACATTTTTAAAATAGTTGCTTGCAGGATGTTATATGTTAATCTGTCTGTCTCCCCAGCTGCATGTCATACATAGGTCTATCCTTCTGAATAATAATCCATGCTGGAATTTGTCCCCTTTGGAGGTGGTAGCAATTCTGACGTCGATGTCCAGGGTGACATGCTTTCATTCATTTCTTTAGCAAGGCTAGTGACAACAGTATAGTCCTCTAATATAAAAATAAATTGGATGTAATATTAATGTAGAAGGGGCTAAGTCCTACAGCTAGAAATACTGGTGATTAGGTTCTTGGTGAATTGTGACTGAGAAATGAAATCGAGTTTAATGTTACTTCATGGGTTGATTATGTCAGCCTATGCTGGTGGATTTACTGCTACTTTAAAACCCAATTGATATCTGTGCAAAGCAGTCTGACAGCTGAAGAAACTTGGAGGCTTAGACAAGAAAGAAAAACAATAGAGAATTAAAAAATAGCAGAAATAAATCCTTATCATTCAGCTGCTCATGAGTCATAGCTAGCCTGAGAGGATTTTTAGTTAAACTCTTCTGGGAAAATTAATATTTTATCTGTGTTTTATGCTAAACTCATTATTGAAGTCATTCTTTCTTCTGTGAAATCAAAATCACTTCTGTAGCAACTAATTGTGATGTCAGAAGTAGAGTATTAATGGGTTTAAGTGAGGAATGCGCAGAGTGTGAATACACCTGCAAAGGTACATAATTTACAGGTGTAATTTGGGGTTTGAAGTAGAATGAGAAAAAAAGATTGGGACGGACACCCTCGCACCTCTGACTTAGCTCTTTAACTCTTCATTTTTGCTAACTCTTAGAGTAGTAGCTAAATAAGGTTTCGTGACCTGGAGTTACTTGTTTTCTAGCAAGTGTTTCAAGATGCCGACTCAGGTGCATGTGTCTGTATATTTGTTCTCTTATTCTTTTGATAATATGTTCTGAAAACATGATGCAGACAAAAATTCAGATCACAGCTGAAACAGTATTCTTTTCAGAGGAGCATCCAAAGATAATACAGAGATGCTTGTGTGTTTTAACAAGTGTGTACCTTTAAATATGGATGTTTTGATTCCCCTATTTCAAATTAATTCCCCTAATTCAAGTGAATTTTTGAGCAGAAATTATTTTTTTTCTTCACAAAAGATGCCAAAATAGATGCCTGTTGAAAATCCTCAGTGCTATGAATGATACAAGGTTTAATCAACACACATTGCAGTCACTGATTCCTGCCTTTTTGCACATGGAAAGGTAATGGATATGCTCCATGCCATGGGACCAGAGACTGTGGTGATCACAAGCTCAGATCTACAGGCACCTCTAGGAAATGACTACCTGATTGCTCTGGGAAGCCACAGAAAAAGTAAGTCATTAACTCTTTCATTAAACTGTGCTTTCTTTTAACCTGTTCTGTGCTTTCAGTTGCTTTTTTAAGAAGTAGTTTCATCAGACCCATCTGTAGTGCATGGAAGGTGCTTAGATCCCTAAGTGAACTTCTTCTACAGTAATACCAGAGAGCGGTAAGAAGGGGGCTGCTCCATGAGGGAAGACAATCTGGGAGCTGAGCATGATCAAAGCACAGGCAGAGCACTGCCCTCATCAAGAGGGCGCAGGCCCACAGTATCTGAATAAGGTAAGCAGAACAGGGATGGTGATGGGCAGACAGGTCCCATTGGCAGTCCAGTGATCTTCAGAGAAAGGCGAGACAATCCTGGTCTGAGACTAATATGGAAAATCCAATCAGTAAGTCAGGACAGCAGGGCTGTATGCAGGTACACCTAAAACATAGCTCAGGCAAGGATGCTTGCACCCGGGCCTGAGCTTCTGTGCAGCTCCTGGGCAAGTGGGCAGAGGGTGCATGGGTGGGGGATGTCCTAGGTGAGGTTGACCAGGGCTATTAAAGCCCCTACTAGTGGCCCTGACAAGAAGTAGTGGTATGAAACAGGAACGTTGAATGTTTTGAATGAATGCTTTTATGAAAAGTTATACTGTCCTGTTAGCAGATTGTTCCTTCCCTGAGAGGTTGTAAAATGTCCTTCTGCTACTTCTTTATATCCCCTTCTATACTGTCACCAAGATTCACTGTGTGTTTGAACTGTCGCAGGATGTTTTTACCCAAGGAGGGCATAGTTATATGGGGTGGCATATGATCTCATTTTCTTGTTCATCTAAGGGATCTAAATGTGGGCATCACATTCTGGACTGCTGAGAGACCGAAAAAGTCTTGATATTTAAAACAGATTCCACTAAGAATCAGTCAGTGGATCTTAGCACTCAGTACATGCCAGGTCTGGAGTAAGTCTGGTCATTCCAATGGCGATTACAATATGGCACATGGATCAGATATTCTCTGCTGATGTCTACAGCTGCTCTGGTGCCTCCATACAACCCAGAGATGCTCTCGGTTATGGTTTGGGATGCCCCATCCAGGATTCAGCAGTCTCCATAAATAAGCAGTTTCCTGAGCAAACCACTGCTGAATGAAAATAGGTGGTGCTCCGTCCTTCATGAAAACAAAGGTTCTAGCTACCTGCTCCCTCTTAAGTGAAGTATGTACAGTATGTAAGTTGTAAATGCTATCCCAACTTGGCAAAGTTTTGAAAGGTTGCACCTTTTAAAAGAGCTGGTACAAAGTTTACAACACTCCTTGGCATCTTTACATTCCAAACAACAAAGGAATTAAAATCTGGTGATCACTTTTAAATGATAGTAAATGCTATTGTATTCATTGCTGGGTCTGTTACTTAGCTGTCTATCTGTGTTGTAGCTAAAGCAGATGGTACCAAGATGACACAAAGAATTCGAGTGGAGTCTCCTAAAGTGGATGCTGTCTTTGTTGGAACAGGAGACTTGTTCGCTGCTATGCTTTTGGCATGGACACATAAGCATCCAAACAATTTGAAGGTGTGGGAGAAGTTATTCGTGTCTCTGCAAGTTTAGACTAATTTTCTTTTTTTTTTTTTAATTACTTTTAATCTATGATATTAATTTAAAGAGTTCCATTTTGGCTTTTTTCCTCACCTCAGAGGAAAAAAAGCATAATTTCCTTTTGCCAAAACATTTTAGCTTGTACCACTTGGACGGTCACATTTCAGTTACGTGGATTTTGTAATTTTGCCAAATAAGATGTTCTTCTCCCGAGAGAGAGAGAGACTGCATGCATGTTTGTAATTATATTTTTTACCCTCACTTCATAATAAGCACTGAAAATGATTTATCAGATCTATTTTTCTGTGTCTTTCCCTTAAGCACATAGAGTCCTCGATACGGGTGTATACCTGTTTCGGGAGAATTAAGGGAGTCTAAATTTTTTTTTTCCCCAACTCTACATTACATAGTTGTCTTCCTGTTTGCATCTTGTTAGTCATGTTTGTCTCTTAATAACAGTGGTTTTGAAATAATAACATTAAACTAGACAGCTGAAATTTTACTAAAACCTGAATATATTATGTTAATGCAGGTAGCATGTGAAAAGACTGTGTCAGCCATGCAACATGTTCTGCAAAGGACCATTAGGAGTGCCAAAGGTAATTCATTCAAACCTTGTTCCCTCTTTCTGTCTGGATTTGCATCAGGACAAACATCCTAAGTTTTCTGGGTTTCCTGACTAAAGGCAGCCCTCAGTGCAGAAGCAGCCAGAGAATTTTCAGAATGAGAGCTTGGTAGTCTTGTCAGTGCACGTTCCTTCCCGTGTCCTCCAAGGCTATTTTTGACAACACCCGACTGAAGATGTCACTGTTCAGCTTGTAGTGGGACTACAGTCATGCTGACTGCGCTTGACTGCGTTACAAAACTGCGGTGGAAGAACTTGAGGAAATGCTGAGTTTGACGTGCAAGAGAGCTGTTCTTTTAAGTGTAGTGCTCTCATTTTCCTTTTGAGTGTGTGTGTGCGTTCAGTATTGAGAGGAGTTTATCAACTAATAATAAACTGTTCATTGTGTTAACCATGTGAGGAGCAATCCCCCCCGACAGCTTCTCTCCCCTTGGAGTTTTCATGCCTTTCACCAGCTAGGATCTCTGGGTTCTTGGAGCTTGCCTGTGTCACTTTCTAATAACAGCAGAGCCGGGTTTTCTTCCTGGAGAGAGGTGCAGAACAGGGCTGATGAGAAATCACAGTGCTGACCTGGATCTTCCACCTTGGAATCCTTCTAGCAGGGGGTAGTAAGGGAGACTGGGATGGGGAGGAGGGTAGAAAAAATAGTGGGGTAACAGGACAATGTAACTTGTTTCTTTTTATACTGCTGTTTTTAATGACATTGTGATGTCATCTTTTTAGCACAAGCTGGAGAAGGAAACAAGCCAAACTCAGCCCAGCTGGAACTGAGAATGGTCCAAAGCAGAAAGGACATAGAAAACCCAGAGATCATAGTGAAAGCCACTGTGTTATAAAGGCTGTACGTCTCCAATAACGCACAATGTATTGATGTCCTCATTTCTTTCCTGTAAATTGTAATATTTGCCTTAGATCTGTGACAGAAACCTGACTTTCATGAAATAGTGCCCAGCATAGGCAGATACCCACTCTCAAACATATGTGCTGGCCTTGCTCAGTTTTAAAAACAAAACAGTGTGCATTGAAGCATATTACCAGGTATCAAAATGGCTGTCAAATTCACTTAGTCTGTGTAACTATCCAGGGCAAGAGAGTACAATGTTCCTGCCTTGCCAAAGACTTCAGATGTGAATTTGCTAATGGAATACTTGACTGACTGGAAAATACATTTCAAGATGGCATGTAGTGCCAGTGGAGCTGGTTCCATGCTCCCGAATTCAGTTGATGAGCTTTATTTGTCTCAGATGGCACAGGGAGAATAAAATTGCATTTCTACTTGCAGTGACATGAAGCAGATTTGCATTAGAGGAAAGGGCTGAGATTTCTTGATTACCTGAGTATGTTCAGGTACGGGTATCTCCCAGATACCTTTCCTGCATCTTCCTCATCACACCTGCCTAACTGATAGTGTCACTTGCATAGCTTGGGAGTCCCCAGAAGAGCTGGTTTGGAGATTGCTTTTGCCACTGAAGTCTTCACTTGTCCCACCATTTTTGTGGATGTTCGCCATTGTAAAAGTTAATTGGTTTCACCTAGGGGAAGAGTAATTTATCCTTAAAGTGAATTTTTAGCTGAGTAGATTTTTTTTTAATAGAGTAAGATTTCATAATTAATACATTTCTGAAATCCTTCATTTTCAGTATTGCTGAAGCAAATGAAACGTAAAAGTTGAACACATTTTGTGGAAAATGTAAGAGGCAAACTTCAGGCTTTCACTCTCAACAACTAATAATAATTTTATTTCCTCTCGTGCATTTGGCATTAAAAGTGAAAAAAAAATATTCATATGCCTTGAGAATTTTAAGGGGAAAAAAAACCCAAACCAGAAATGACCTACAAAATGTGACTCTGCTGCCACAGTTTTTAGTAACCACTGCCATGAAATAACTTTCTAGCAATATTACTTTTGGTGATGTGAACGGTTGCTAAAATTAGCAGTCAGTAATAGAGATGAGTTCATGGCTGATATCCAACGTGTAGAAAGACATGAACTATCTTAACAGTGTGTATAAATATCTGGTGGGAAGCAGTGAAGAAGGAGGAGATGGGCTTTTCTCAGTGGTGCCCAAGGAAGTTGTAACAGGCAATGGGCACAAATGGAAATACAGGAAATTCCATTTGAACATAAAAAAAAAAAAAATCGCTGTGAGGGTGATCAAACACTGGCACAGGTTGCCCATAGAGGTTGTGGTGTCTCCATCCTTGGAGATACTCAAAACCTGACTGAACGTGGCCCTGAGCAACCTGCTGTACTTGACCCTGCTTGCACAGTGGGGTTGGACTAGACGATCTCCAGAGGTCCCTTCCAACCTCAACCATTCCTTGATTCTGTGAAGTACAATGAATTGCTTTGCTTTGCAGCGCTGTTTTTAAATTGATGCAAATATTTTTTTTTTTTCCTGAGACACAAACTCTCAGATAGGCTAGGAAATAGCTCCGTATTAATAATTTCCCCCCTTTTTAGATAACTGCTTTTTGCTTGGGCAGTTGTGCCAGGAATACAGTTGCCCTTTTTGGGGTAGTTGCTTTCATCAAAGGTAATCAAATACTGTAGCTGGTGATGCATTTCAACAGTTAAACACAAAAGGATTTTAGCAGTTTCTGGCATTGATTAAAGAAGTGTTGCATGCCATATTACAATTGTAACTATGAGTTTATTTATCTTTTAAAATTAGACTATTTCACATGGAAGCATATAATCCCTCCCATCCTCTTGGGAAGAAGGGGTCAACATACTCAACTTCCCTGCCTGTACATATCATGGTCAACTTTGCGGCATTATGCTTGACACGCTCACCCAGCTGTATCTCTTTTTGCAGCTCCTACGGTTCACATACAAAAATCTTCAGCTGGCCAAGCTTTGAGACCTCTACTATGTCCCTCAGATTGCCAGGAATTAGAGGAATCCCAGGAGCAGTTCCCGTGCGGTAAAGAACATTTGATTTATATGGTCCCATGGCTCCAGCACAGATCTTGGCTGGGTCCAGAAGCAGCTCTGGGTGCCCTGGCTCCTGTAGCCAGGGCTGTGGATTACCCAGCCCCACTGCACCAGCAACAGCTTCACTGCCAGTCTCGTAACACAGCCTGGCTTGGGAGCTTCCTGGGGCCAATTTGAGAGCCACACGGTGGCCATCCCTGCACTGGTGCAGTGCAAAATTGAGGTTCTTCCATTCCTCACATCAGGGGATCAACAGGAGAGAGAGGCTCAAAATCGGCCTTTTAATTTTTTTTTTTTTTTTAAGCAGCAATAAGTATGCACTGTCAAAATTTGCTGTCAGAGAAACCCTACCTGTTGTAAACGTGTCCTGCAGAAAAGCCCTTGTAGTGAGACAGCACAATTTTTTTGCCAGTAAAAAAATAGACTCTTACAAGGGAATTGAGAGAAAGGCAAGGGCTCGTTTTCTCTGAAATAAAGAAGCTTGGAATTTAGGAAACTTAAAGCTACCTTGCAAACAAGGTTTTATCTGTAAACCATAAATGAACCGTGATCTTGCCATAAAAGAGAAAGTGATCTGTTTGTTGGAGCGGCTTCATATACCTGTCAGGTGTGATCTTTTCCTGCGGCTTCAAAGAATGGATCAGTTCAGTAATTCACACCTTCCTTAGAATCTGCGGCATATCCATGTTAAAAAAAAAAAAAAAAAAGTATAATGATACTGATGTGCTCAGTTTGCAGAAGTTCATATTGTGCAGTCGTGGGATTCTGTCGTAGTGGGCTCTGATAGCTGCTTCTGCCTAAGTCCCTGGGAGTTGCTCATGTGATACCTGTTTTAAACTCCCACTGACCTGATCTACGTTAGGTCAGGTTTATGTCTTCAATGAAGAATTGGGCTTAACATCTCCTGCCAGGAACAAACATGAGAAATTATCTGTAAATATATTCTGTAGCTAACGTTTTGTAGTCACAGCAGGCTAACGGGTGTTTTTAAATGACAAGGTGTACGTACTTGGATGCATTTTTATTTGTTCGGAGTTACACAGCGCTTCTTCATAATGTTTGCAGAACAAAATTCAGTACAGTCCTGTCCAATCTCTTATTCCCTCCTCTCCTCCTGCATATGATACCTGAATCTGTTTCTTGAGTTCCTGCTGTATTTCTGGTGCAGCTGGGAAGTGGCTCAGTATTAGACAGCTGCCTGCTATTTATTTAAGGGCTTGGAGTAGACTTACCAGGATTGTCTGATCCGCTTGCAGATCCTTAGATAAAGAAAAATGGTTAGTCCAAACTAGTTGGGGTCCCAACTGATTGCAGAGGCGCAAGCACTTTAGCCCAGGGAATGGAGAGTCGATAACTAATGGATAATCTTCCATGACCATCCCAACAGCAGGAAAGGTGTCTGTAGCCCACCAGTCCAGCACTCACCAGCTGGGGGCTGCTACCTTCGCTGCCACGCGTACTTCCGTGTGCACATGGGAAGTTGGCTGCGAAGGACGCTTCTAGTGCTGAAGTACGCGTGGGAGCAGCGAGCGCTTTGCGTTTGCCTCCAGTCCACTTCACCACCTTTCTTGCTTTTACATTACTGGAAGTAATTTGTGTTGGATCCCTTTTTTTTCTGGGATGAACGGTGCAGGGTGTGTGCTCAGCCATTTTGATTACTGCAAGTGCACTCGATTTGCGGAGCCATCGTGCAGGAGAGACCAAAAGTTCTTTGCAAACGATCTACTCTATTCTGGGCCGGGATTAGTCTCTACATGTTTAAAATTCCCGTGTACCCCTTTGGGAGATGTGCATAAAGACATTGTGCTAAAATCAATGTGCTGTTCACACTCAATAGAAACATTTAAGAAATCTGCAGTACAAATTGTTAATGTTTGTTTGCTGATTTTTATCATAAGCGGAAGAAATCTATAATCAATGTGTTATACAAAAGAATCAGAGGACCAAGGTTTCCAGCTACTCCTACTGCCTTTTTGAGTATCTCAACGGTGTCTTGATTGGATGGTGTAATTTTGTTGTCTGAGGCTGTTACGGTGATTGTATTGATTTATTTTATTTTAAAATATGTGGCAAGGAAGATTGTAATAAAAGCATCTACGTTTAATATACTGTGCACACACAAATTGTTAGATCCTATTTTTGAATATGTTAATCATTTCAGAATCAAACAGAACAAGAACACTTTGATAGTCTTGCTGATTAAAGTGGATGTAATTAAAGGTTTCCTTAGTTATATCCTAGTACAGAAGAAGGGTAGTTAATGGAAG